ACAGCCCTCCAGACGGTCGAGGCCTCGTCCTCCACCCAGCCATCGGTGGTCGATCGTCTCGAGCGGGCTTGCGAGAGAGCAAGCACTCTGACCGAGTTGGACGAGGCATTCAATGTCAGACTCGGGGTAGGGGGTAGGGGGCAGGGGGCAGGGGGCATTAACATATGGATGCTGCGCGGATGTGGGAATTGATATTGATACACAGACAGATGTACTTCTGGTGCTCGAACGGTTCGAAGCACCTTCGAACGGTCGGCTGGCCGCAAGGGGGACTCGGGGGCTGCAGCGCAACACTCGGCCCGAGGCATAATTATATGAACAACCCCCATCAACTCGGGACCCTGATTGCGCGACGGGGTTTGATGATATTAGAGCTTTGAAAAATCGAGTGCCCGGTGCCGAATTGAATGCCTAGAGCTCCCACCCAAGCGCACCTCGAACCGAGTGCGCCCAGCAGCAACCTGAGTAGCCGGAACGCTGGGACCATTTAGCGCAAGACAACTAAAGCGATCGAAATCTCGAAGTCAGTGCCGAAGACTCTCGGACCCAGAAGCTTGATTTGCCGACCCGCGAGTCGGATGGGATTATTAAGCGGAACATTCTAGAAATTGCCCTACAAAATCTCGGAAGGGGTGACTGCCTGACGATGGTGTCTATGACATGAAGAGCCTTAAATTTGCAACCGGGTGCTAAATCTTGTCGTGGGTTGCTAAACACTGTGTACGTAATAACTCACTAATACCGCATGGATTGATGCACTTGGAGTCAGCTGAACGAAAGCGCTCTCTTGGGCTTAGAAAACACAACAAGGACGGAATCGAAACCCCACAACCTCGACAATCGTGGGGCGCTTGCAGAATGCTCTTCGGGGCACTCGTCCAAGCACTTCGGGGATTGGAATAATGGACATCGATGTCTGAAGGTTTATAGACAGTGGAGCACCCATGAGGTCGAAGAAATTCGTGGTGCTCAATCGGAAAGCACATCAGGGATCGAGAATTCAGTGAGTCAGGCTGATCATACTGGAGTTTGAGGGAGCACTCGAGGGCCTTGATGACTCGTGCTACCAAAGTGCAGTAGCGGTGCAGCAGGCTCCGACGAGGAATTCGAATGAGCCTCGGAGCGTATGCAGTCAGACATTACGACCGATTTTCAGCTGCATCACCTCATGCTAATGGAGGAACGCTCGTTCGGTTGCCAGACACGGACACCATTGCCCCGCTCGCTTGCCCGACGTAATCAGCGCCCAAGAACATGGACGAATCTGCAGCTCTAGTGATCTAGTGTCTGCTAGCAGCTGGGTTCTTTAAACTCAGCTGAGCGAGGTGCTCGCTTCAGTTGAACGGGAATGTCTTGCCACTCGCGTGCTCGTCAGCAGTTTTTTTGGTTTTCTCGAACGAAGTGATGATGGGACACGTTCGTGCTTCGAATTGTGGACCGGATCACTGATGGCAGGCCGCGGCCATTGATTCCAGTCGAGCCCCTCGCAAAGGGAGGGCTGCCAAATTGAATCGCAGACACAACTGCATCTGACGAGGTTTGTTTTTAGCCAGACTGACAGATATTTGGCATTTAGAATCATGACAGATTTTGCGGCATGAGAGCGATGGTCGTCATGGGTAGGTAGGACGAAAAAAGTCTTGGAGGCTCATATGCAGGAAGGTTCGTTCGTTCGTTCGTTCACCTGCGCATACGGAACGCATGCTCACGACTCTATCTATCTATCTATCACCGTCAGTCAGCAGATGCAAAATATTAGGAATGTCACAAGCCCGGTGACCTGAACCAAGACATGTCTTCGATTTCGTGCTCTCTCGCTTTCAGCCCGTGCCGCCGCTGCTGCTGCAGCAGCAGCAGCTATGGCGCCAGAAAAGAGTGGTTGAAGGGTCTGGGCTCGGGGAGAGAGAAAGAGAGATCGAGCGGATAACTATACGATCCACCTCTCTACTCCTCCTCCGGCCTGCATGAATGCCAGCAGATCTAGACGTGTGTACTGCACGACTACCACTGCCACCCCCAATTCTACGACTACGCCTACAAACTCGGGGCATGCAGTACCTAGCTCCATCAGTGGAATGTGTACATCCACCTGAGCTTCTTTTGCTTTGCCGCTTGACCGTTTCGACCTTTTTCGACCCACCATGTCAAATATCTGCCCTCTCTCTGCATGCTTGAGGCCCCAGACGCAGCAGCAGCAGCAGCAGCTGCAGATGAACGGGACGAGTCCCAGTCTCGTATTCGTGCCAGTCCAGTGGAATGATTCTCAACGCCTTCTAAAATGTGCTGCTCCTTTCCGTGAATCCCGATTCTACATTTCACGACATGACTTGACTCGACTCGACTCGACTCGACTCCTCGTTTACTTAACTCCTTACCACCGAGACGACTTTACAAATCTGATCTGTCTGTTGCTCAAAATTCCAATCTAGAGGGCCTGGCACCGGTCGGCAAGCAGGCAGGCGGGCTGGCTCACTGGCTCGCTGCTCCCGTTGCTTTACGCTGTCAGATGACTGCAAGTTCGTCGAGTGGCACTCATGAGGGTGAAAGCACCTCCACCTTCACCGCAGTGGGTAAAGGCCAAAGCAGACTGCGTGAATTCTTTTCTGGGATGGGTCGTCGAGCTCGTTTTGGGAAATGTTACGCGCGCCTTACTATTTCGATGGCGTGAATTAAGCACGGACTCAGTTGTTCAGTTCTGCGGTTGAAGAGGAGCTCGTGCCTCCGCTCATGGCCCCCCTGGAATCCATCATCGACGTGAAGGTGGACCAACAATGTACGAAGCAGAGAGCTAAAACAAGCCGGGGCAGAAAGTTCATCTGATCCATCGTCCATTCAGAAGTAAATGCAGAGAAAGGGGGAGAGTTTAGAGCGATGGGGCACAGACACAGCGCCCCCCGGGGGTTTCTTCAGTGTATCAAGAGGTAGCAGTGGTACCGGAGTTCTGTTATTCTCTTGACGAGCCAAATCTAGATCCTACCAACTCTGCAGCCCAGCATTATTACATCCCATGAGGATATCAAAGTGGTACGGGCCAGCCCTTTTATTCGTTCTTGTGCAGAGGGAGTTGTCGGTCGCTTTGATTGAACGAACAGAGCACATTGTTGGCTCGGAGCGAAGGGCGAGAGGGAGGGGAGGTATGCCAGAGATGGATGCGGGGCCAGATCCACGAATCGAGATTCGGGTCTGGTCTCTGAGCTGCCTGCCAATTGCTTAACGCTCGTAGAACCTCCGATCCCTCCCCTCCCCTCCTCCCCTCCCTCCATCCCTTCCTTCCCCACCACGCGCCCTGTGTCCGCCAGTCAGCCCGCCCCAGTTTAGGCACTCCGCGGTCTCGATCACATTCTTTTATCGAGCGAGCGCTCGTCGTCTGTCGTCTCTCACATGGCTTCTGCTGCTTTCTGGTAAAAGAACCGACTGACACCAAGTGCCTCTTCGGGTCAATTGGCCATAACTCAGTCTCGAAATGTCGGTGCTTGAAAAACATGCCGAACATACTAACTCACTCACTCACTCAGCAGCTCCTGCTGCTGCTGCTGCAACGCAACGTCCCCTCGAAGAGTAGTAAAAAGCTTGCATCCGAGCTATGCTACAACTCGTGGGCCCTCGGGGCCCTTGCTCCCTCCCTCCCAGTCGTCAGTCAGATCATCCATCTCTCTCTTTCTCTCTCGCTCGCTCACTGCATGAACTGAATGCAACCCTCCTCAAAGCTTTTCACTTTCCAGAGTACATCTCACCTGCGCTGCAGCAGCAGCAGCAGCAGCAGACCTGAGCTCGAACAATTCCCCCCCTCTGTAGGTGACCGACCGACCCACCGTCGCCCGAGCCCAGCCGATCTCTGTTTACAAGACATGGCGTCAGTTTCAGATGGACTCAGCTCGGAAGTGCTCGACCTGACCTGACCTGCCCCGCCCCGCCCCGCCCCGCCTCTTCAGTAGCCTCGCAGTGTCCGTTAAAACCAGAACAATTCTTGCCGAAGTGACAATTCTTGCTTGCTGCCGTACAAATCGTTGTGAATGAACAGCAGCGCTCGACTCAGCACTAATTTTGCCTTAGTGGCGCAAAGGAGGAAGTTGACCGACTGCAGACGCCGAGGCGGCAGCAGCAGCAGTCAGGCAAGGGCCGGGGGAAGAGACGGGCTGGGGAGTGTTGCGATTTGCTCGAGGAGGCGGCAGAGGGGCCGATCGCCAGACCGGTACTCGAGAATACGTAGAATTATGAGTCCATAAGTCGGAAATGCTCGAATGCTCGAGTCGGCCGAATCAATTGCATCGGGCTCTTCCATCATCGCGTTCCACCGTCATCATGCTGATATAATGTGCGACAGCTTACTCGATCTCCGAATATCGCATCCACGTGTCTGAAGGGCTCGCGACGGCGTCAAATGCTCGACCCGACCTGTCATCATCAGATTCACGTTCCCTGTTCTCTTTCCCCCACCATCATCATCCATCCTGGTCATGGCTGGCTCAAGGAGTCGCGTTGAGAGCCAAGATAAGGTGAAGAAGAGGCCACATCTAGACACAACATATGTGCCCTCCTTTAGAGCCTAAATGTAGTAAAGAATCAATCCATCTACCGAACTTTATGACGAAATTCATACTCTGGCCCAATCGTAGCCATTATCCATTGCGAGAGCGATCCACACATTTCTCGACCGCGCGCATGAAAATATGAATTCTCGAAGCGTATTTCCTCTCTTCCCTCTCGGGGAAACGCAATCGAGCCCAGCTCAGAATTCCCAAACTGCACATATTGTGACCGTTGGAAGGCCCTCTTCCCCACTCGGTCTGCAAAAGGTGTAAAATGCATCCATGGAAAGAGCACGGGCGCGAGAAAGTCGGTCAATAAACGAAGGAGAGAAAGTCGATCCAAAGTAGGGGAAGGGACAACGGGGGGTCGCGAGATTTTCGACATGCGCAAGCGAAATGCGAAAATAAAGCAGAGAGAGGAACACAAGACGACGACGACGAGACAAAGCCGCGGTCGAGTGAGAATATGTGTGAGAAGTTTCCAGTAAAGCATCTTTATTTCAACAAGGCCATACAAAAATGTGAACCCGGGTTTGATCGTAGATTCGCTCCGTCGATTTTGCTCAAGAATGAAACACTCAGGGCCAGACTGCCGAGGGGCCGGCAGAATTGAGACATTGACAGTATAATCACTCAGGGTCAAACTCATGTATGGAACTGCTGGTTGCACAAAGATCATCCATACCTCTATCCTACCAACTACTTACATGGCTGGCTGCCTGCATGCACTATCATCTCGCTGCATTGAGTGCGATCAGACCACTGATCTTCAATTTGGGCAGCTGCTCAGATCTTTAAAAAATCTAGATCGTGTACACTGCGACCGTTTTTAACATGATGTCTACATTGTTGTCAATTACAAGCTTCCAGTGTGGAAGAATTCTATGCTAACTTGAGAAATACACAAATGATCATTGAGCTCTTGAGTGTGAGTGAGTGAGTGAGTAACAATATTACAGGAGGCCTTTAAGAGTCCTCGATGTCTGTCTGTGTGTCATGTGAATGTATACAACCTACCTACCGTTCGTTCCACCTTTCCTGTGGCTTCTTCACCCTCCATCCTTCCTTCCTGTCTGTGCTTCGATCCGGCCGCCTCTAACATGCGGCCGAGGATTGCGAGTAGTGGGAGAATCCGGGCTTGGCGAAGGCAAGTGTCTTGTTGTCCATGGTGGTTACTCTTTCACAGGATGGGCACATGGTCAGGGTGGCGGCAGGTAGCGGCATGTAGAAGTCGTGCGCAATGACACACGGAGGAGCCACCTTCAGCGCTCTCAGCTCCTGCAGCTCCTTCTGCAGTCTCCGGTTCTCCTCCGTCAGAGTCTCGCAGCATCGCTTCAGAAGCTCGCAATCGACCTCGGTTTGTTTCAGCTTGGTCCTGCACAATCATCAGCCTTCACGTCAGACTCGGGTCCAGTCGTGCCCTTCCGACCTTCACTCACATCGCTCGCTAGCCCCGCCCGCCCCTTGACAAATACCAGATACTGACAGAACGACTCTTTCCTCTACCGACTCACTCGACCACCATCATCGTAAATAAGATCTCGCTTTCATCCAATCCAGCCGAGCCAGGCCCTTATACCAAACACTACGCCAAACAACGACAGCTGCGAACTGAACCAATTCCAATGAATCGTGAAAGTACCTTGCTCTTCTGTTTTGGAACCAAACTTCGACTTGGCGAGGCCGCAAGTTCAACTGCTTGGCGAGTGCGTTCTTTTGCTTCTGAAAAGCCGAACAACAATGGAGTTAGAATGGACGAAGAAGGCCAGAGAGTCTTTGCAGGCCATGAGCAAGAAGAGGACACAAGGGTGGAAACGGACGAAGAGGCAGGCGGGTGAGATTAGTACCGGGTTGAGGGTGCTGTGCTCTTTGAAGCTTTCCTCGAGGAGAGCCGACTGCTCCTTGGACAGTCTGAGCTTCTTCCTCGTGGTGCCCCCTTCTTCCTCGTCGCTGCCTCTCGAGGAAATGTCACACGTGCGGTCGCGTTCCAGGTCAAAATCGTGCGTTTTCTCCCTCTCCCTTTTCAGATTGATGCTGTTGGGGGACGAGACCACCACGTCGTCGCAATCGGCTGAAGACGGGATTTGATTGACGTCGATTCCTCGAGGTGATCCTCCGTGTCCCGAGGAGTAAGTTTCCGCCGCCTCGATGTCTTCATTACCTGAGCACAATGAGCACCAATTGCACGTCAGGGACAGCAAATTGCACCCAACACGCGCGCCGATTGCGCAGCGAGGACGTACAGAATCAACAGAGAACCAACAGAGGCAACAGATGAAATGGAAGACGCATGACAGTGCTTCACGAGCAGAGGAGCGAAAACAAAAAGACACGAGAGGTAGAGGCGCTAGAATGCATACCACTGGCAGAGTTGGAACGGGATCTGTTGAAGAGAGGTTTCCACGGGAAGGGATTGTGGGACTGCGACTGCGACTGCTGCGTGGGAGGGTGCGGGGCTGCTGCAGCCGATGGAAAAGTGGGCATGGGCAGCAGATCCAGTTGCACGGGGCACTGCCGTCTTACGGTGGAGCAATCGTCCTGGCTCCTCGCTACCATCATGCTCAAGTCTACGCTGAGGCTCAAGCTCGCTCCGGAGCCTTGCATCGCCCTAAGCCGCTGCACCTCCTCCCGTAATCTATCCTTCCCCTCCGCTAGGAGCATCATCTAGACTGATTGTCAAGTCTTGCTTCCTCGTCGTGTTCAGAGCCGGCTCCGACACCGACACCACCACCACCACCAGAACCAAGCCAAGCCGTCCGTATTTCTCAGGCTCACGTCGCCACGCTCTGAGACGAGAAAATCCTCGACGTCAGCAGCATGAAAGACCAACTGATTGACGGACGACGGGTTCCTCCCGGCACGCACAGCCGAAATGGTTCGTCTGAGCAATCCGTGATGCTCGACCCGCCGAGCTCCGATCGTGAATGAGAGATTGCAGAGAACCGAGAACAGCGAAGCCGAGAAGGAGCTGCGCGTTACCTCGCAGTCTTTCGAGAGCCTTCCTGTTCCAGAGCTGCAGGAGAGAGCAAGGCCTGCCTGCCTGCCTGCCTGCCTGCCACAGAGAGCTGGGCTGGTCTGTACGCCGAGCGAATGGCACTCGCTACGAAACTCGTTCGAAAAGCGAGCACGGAGCAAGAAGAAGAAGAAGCAGAAGACGATGGAACGCGACTGCTGGTTTCTTCTTCAAATTCCAGCCTCTGCCCGCCAGGCCAACCTTCTTCGCCTTGCCTGCTAGAGCCGGACAGTCATACAGACAAACTAACAGTGGAATGTTCGACTTGTGTGCGCAACACAGCACTCGCCCAGTGGGGCAGGCCGAGAAGAGAGTGAGAGTGAGAGAGAGAGAGAGGGAGAAAGATTGACAGAGATTGGAAGGGAGAGCGAGCACGCAAGCGGATGAGAGAATGACTGGAGCTGGAAAGCGGACGAGATAGAGATAGGCGAGCAGGAGAGGAGACCCGAGAAAGAGAGAGAGTGAGAGAGAGAGGGAGGTGAGAGCGACTTGCAGTGGGAGACGGGTCACGAGAGAAACTAGAATGCCAATTGTGTTGCTCGAATGTAAGGAGGTGGGGGATTTCAGACCAGCTGCTGGTGCTACGGGGTGGCCCTCCTGCGCCCTCTTCCCCAGGGGATGGGGATGATGGTGGGGGGATGGGGCGGGCGAGCGGGCGGGCGGGGGGGCGAGCGGGCGGGCGGGCGGACCGGGCTAGAGGGCCAGGGGGCCGGAGCCGGGGCCAGGGAGTTAGTCAGTGGCGTCAGTCAGTGAGCGAGTCCAGTCCAGTCCACTTCACTCCACACCTCTGCACTGCACTGCACTGCTCAGCCACTGCCACTAGACACGAGTAGAAGAAGACGGTGAGCTCTAATAAGACACAGATGGATAGATAGAGGAACTGGAGGAGCGTAGAGTACAAAAGAATCGAGAGCAGCGAAGCGAAGTAAGGAGGAGCTAGCGAGCAAGCGGAGGACGAGGTGAGGGGGTAATTCACAGTGCTCGCGTAGAGTACGAGGGCAGCGGCGTACGGGCTTGGGCTTGGGCTTGGGCTTGGGAGGCAGGATTGGGAGGGCAGAGCCGTAGAGAGAAATCCAGGGAGAGGGAGAGGGGGAGGGTTGGCGCCGGGGCAAAGGCCAGGCCCGGGCAAAGGGCTAGGCAAAGGGAGGGGCGTGGGGCAACTGGCGAATCGACGGGGCCGTGCGAAAACATGGTCCAGCGTGCAGGAGGAAGGGCGCGGGCGTGTGCTCCCGGCTCGGCTGTGGAGGGACATTGATGGGGTTGCGGGACGACATGGCGGGTGCGGGGATCTGTTGGCCCTTGGAGAATGGGGCCACTGTTGGCCTCGTCGCCCGTCGTGACCGTATTCCGCCTCATCTCTAAAAACAGTGGCCCCGCAGAGCGCAGGGCTAAACTGGGGGTCTTTTGCTGTCACTCCACCGCGCCGCACGCTCGCCTCCGGGAGCGCCAAATTAGTCGCGACTATCTCGAGTAGTCGGCTACAAACTGGCGGGACTCCCTCGGGGCTGCCATCTCGGGGACAGGGACGCGACGATGATGATGATGATGCGCTTGCGGGGAGGGCCCGAGGGCGGAGATGTGGTCATGAGCAGCGCGGGGTGGGGGTGGGGGCTTGGGCTTGAGTGAGTGAGTGAGGGAGTGAGTGGCTGCATGGGAGACATGAGATGGGTATGGCAAATGATCGTATGGCAGGGGCTAGGGGGAGGGTCTGACACGGCGTCAAAAAAGCAACACAGCGCCGCCATTACAATCATGCGCTCTGGGCAGGCCAATGGAAGGATTCCACGTGGATGGAAACCTAAGTGGGATGTCGAAGGCGAAGTGAGCATCACGTGAGCAAGCGGGCGAGGAGCGATGCCATTGGCGGAGAGCGCCAACCTTGCCACGCGGGATAATATAAGAGGGACATGGTGGCAGAGAGTGCCGCACGCTGGCCGACAAGACAAATGATGGCGGGCACTTGCACAATGATGCCGGCAGTCATCATGCCCGAGTCAATGACTCCAATGCCATGGTATGGGCTCATGATCGATGCCAGGGCATGGCCATGGTTCCCGATCCCGATCCGATTGCGTATCGCGCTGCGGTTGTCGCCATACTCCCATAACGTGCACGCCACGTCATCCTGTCGGCTCCCGGGGGACACCTTCAACTGGTCTAATCATTGGCGATAAACCTGTCCTCCCACCCCGTCGGCCCGCCCGGTGCCCACGGGCAATGCGACCAACTATGCCCCTTTTACTCCACATGCGACCAGCCCCAGGCCCCAGGCCCTTGGCCCCAGTGGTGGTATCCGCTGCTCCCCGAATTTGGGCCCCTCACTTTTTAATCCTCTCCCCCCATGTAACCCCGATGTCCCTTCCCCGTCCCCGTCCCTGTCCCGCGTCTGCGTCTGCGTCCTCGTCCGCTACCACGATCGACAATTTTAGCCGAGCCTGACTCGCTGCCCCGGACTAGTCGCCTGGACAGAGATCTCGGGGTGGGTCTCGCAGGACGGGCTTAAATCGGGGTTAAATCGGGTGGGGGGGGTTAGTTGGGCTTAGCCGGAACCACGGGAATGTCAGTCGGGGGCGGGGGCCGGGGTCAGAGTCGATGTTGATTGAGAGGGGATGGGATTTCTCGTGAAGAGAATAATAAATTGGATATGGAAAGGGGCTGATGAGAGGAGCGATGATGGTCGGATTGATCCTCCCGGGGGAGGGGAGGAATTACACAGTGGGGATGCAGCGGCAGCGGCAGCTGCAGGTGCAGTAGTATGAGAGGAGGAGTAAAGGAAGACTATTCATGGAGGGCTCCAGCATGGCCACAGTTGGGAGATTTAATCTTCTCGTGTTGTGGTTGGGACTGATTCTCTGGATCCATAAATTGCAGTAAACAAATATGCTTTTCTCGTCTATAGTGGTATGTTTTGGTACCACCCCACGAGTCTGCATCTGCCCGGGTGTTTATTCCCCCACATGATTTGCAACGCCCCCATCTTTGTATATAGTAACTGTGCGCGGAAGATGAGTGGATTGTTGGCACATGAGGGCACATAAGGGAGGAGAGAGAGAGAGAGAGAAGTGATTGAGAGGGGGGGAGACCTCTCGGCTGTTATGTCCACAAACACTGTGGATGGTTGAAAATACCACAATAGATTACTTTCGTTTACAATCATCTCTCTCTCTCTCAGCTGTCTGCCTCTCAACGGAAACTCGGGCCGTCTGTCTCGTTCGTTCGAGTGGCTGGCTGGTGGTGCCTTTACTTGCCTTGCTTGGATTGCCTTCGGCCCGCTGGGCTTGCAACTGGATTGATTTAGACGGGTTGAGATTGATTCCTGCATATCACCTTCCTCTCTATAAACCAGACCATACATGGGGTTGGGGGGTGGGGGTGGTGCAAAAGACGAGAGTGTGTTTGTTCCCCAGATCTCAAGTTTTCAACTGCCTCATCCTTTCACGAAAGCTTCCCCCACATCCGTTTGTCCCTACATGCATGGATAGAAATAAAAAGATTAGAAAAAAGTCGCAGCTCCCGGTCAAAAAGGTCCTAATAACTATCTGTTCAGTAGCCCTGTTTGACACAACTCTGCCTTGCGCTGCCCATTGGCCAACAAGAGCTTGGCCACCTTGTGGCCAATGTGGGCGAAAAGGGATAAGCCAAATGGGTCGTGCTAATCTCTGCCCCCGGTCAATGACCGCTTTATTTCCCATCTCAATATGGAAAGACAACCCATGACCGCCAATTCACTTCAGAATGTAAGGAACGTGGTTTTCAGCGTCACTCGCCACATTCCAGCTGTCCTCTCATCTTACACACACCAACATGATACGGCCAGGCCCGCGACTCCCAATCTCCAGAAAGTTCTGTCCACAATTCGGCATTTTATTCAGCGTCAACAACCTTCCCACAGGCAGAGACCTCCCCCTGCTGCACTTTGACCGGTGCTGCTAGTGCTCTCACTCTGTTCCGGCCTTCTGTTGTGGACTCTGCGATCCATCCTAATTAAGCTTTCCACTGTTCTTACCCTACGTCTCTCTCTTTCTCTCTCTCTCTCTCTCCCACCACCTCCCTCCCTCCCTCCCTCCCTCTCTCTCTCTCCCTCTCTCAAGCAGATCAACACACTCTAAGCGCCTCTGCATCGATTGAAGGATTCGTTTGATTGTTCAATCATTCCATGTCAGTAGTGGGATCCAATATCCAACCCGTAACGGCAGTAGCTCGGATCATCAGATCCATCACCTAGATGTCATGCCTTCGTTAGGCATTCATTAAGTTGATACACTATGTCTAATCAACTCACCTCCCCGCATGATGTACAGTCCACGATCATTTGCATCGGTAATTTAACCAAACCCTTAAAGTAGTATTAGTCATGATGTCCGAACTGACTCCGACTAATCATGAAAGACCTTCTTTTGATTATTGTGAAGCGGAATGATACCGAATTTATGAAAGGCTAATGATAATCAGAATGTCCAAGTAGATATGGCAATAACGAGAGCGAAACAGGCAGCGAGATGGGCAGAATTGCGAGGTTGGTGATTTCCCTCGTCCTTGCCACCATCCTGCTGTACTCTTGACGTTGGTCAGTTATTATTCTTGCGATGCACTTGCCATTGCATCTCTCGGAGAAGTGACGTCCGCCGGTGATCTTGCAAAGATTCATGACTAGAACCTTATTGTCAGGTTCCGATCCTTTCCGTTTCTTAAATAGATGGGATCCTCTTAATATCATAATCCAGCCCGGCCCATTTCCCTTAAGTAGCACAACACGCACGCACTCACTCACTCGCACACATTTTCCACTGTTGAATCAACAGCGCTAACCCCTTCGCTATTCTTGCCTAAAAGTATGTCTTCTCTCTTCTCTCTCACAACTCCCCCTTCCCCATGAATCAACATTTAACACATGCTCATTCGTGAAGGTTTCTTCTGACTTTGCTGTGAGGAGCATACTCAAATGGCGTATTTTTGGTGTCATCCGACATGTGACCCACCAACAGTTGAGATAGAGAGAGAGAGAGAGAGAGAAAGAAAAATAGAAAGATTTCTCCGGTTCCTATGAACAGGAGGTGCAGTCATGGCGTTCTGGGAACGTGTTGAAAAGAAGCATATTTCCAAAAATCCGGCCCGCTTTGCTCTCGAACCCTATCTGGTTCCAATAGAACGAACTCCCAACCGAATATGGGAAGCTGAGTTTAGGAGAAGAATGCAGGCCAGCCAGGAAGAGGCGACACCGGTCGAATCCAGAACCAGAAATCCTTGTCGGGCTTGGTATGGGTGACTCGGGAACCATGGTTGGACATGGGTGGGGGGGGGGGGGGAGGGGGAGGAGAGAGAGAGAGAGAGAGAGAGAGAGAAAAGGAGAACCATAAAGTGCCCAATCATAGAAGGTCATAAACAACCCAACTTTCAATGCGAATTTCTTTTATATTTTCGCGGAGATCCAAACGAGACAATCATCGTGACAACAATGAAACAGGATTGCACAACTGGGAGAAGGGATGGGATGGGATGAGGGCGAAAGCAGGATAACATACACAAGCGAATGAATGATTATGTAGGGCAAGATCCCTGTTGCGCTCTTAAAATATGAGTAAAGTAAGTACGGTCTAATGGGGCCATCGGCCACGCACTCATTGGGAACACATGAATCTCCTTTCGGAGAAGAATATAAGCCCCAGGTTTCGTGCAACATTATTGGAGATAAGCAAGGAAAGGGCATGCGGTGAAAAAAGATAAAAAATGATTGACGTTGCTTCTTATGTGCAAACACAGAATTCTGTTGCCTCAAGCGGCTGTCGCTATGCAGTGTCTATGGCATGTTTTGCTCATGCCATTGACTTCCTAATCTTGTCACCACATCATAGCCCCATCAAGCGGAGAGAAAATCGAAGAAACGTCCAGATTCATTCCCCAATTACGCTGATCACTGGTCATTGACCCCCTATTTTCTGCGCTGTGGAAATTCTTTTCTCCAATCATGTCATTGACTTAGCGGAGTCTAAAGAACATGCTCGCAGCGCTTCCTTGCTTCGGGCGAGATCGCCTTCAGAATAGCTCGACCTCCACACTATTTTGGGCTATCGGCCCAGATGTGGAGCAAAGATTGGACTAACATGTGCAGAAATAAGTGGCACCAGATTCTCGTCCGCGTGTTTTCGACTCCTGTGGGCGACCTCCGCTACTCCACACAATTATCAGAGCGACTGGAAATCAGCGTAACGAGCCGGGGAGTGGAGAGGGCTATTATATTTGGGGGTGCTTGATTCTCGCCCGTGTTTGCTCCTGTTTGTCATCTGCATGATTCGCCAAGAGGACATCGTTATTGCATTTTCAAAAGCGGCAATGCAATTCCACACCATCATCAGAAGATACAGAAATGGCGGTATGAGAGCACTGGTGGACTCGACTGTTTGATTATGGGCCGCTCCAATCACGGCAGCACTCCCAGGGGGAAAGTCAAATGGACGGGACCGTCGGGACGTCGAGCCAGACTTTGCTGAAAAGGTATGATGATTGTGGTGACATCATCCAAATTATATGATCTCTATGATCTTCGACGTCCACCCATCGCTCCCTCCATCCATCCATCCATCCGCCACCACCACCACCACCCATCCACTGCTCGAACAATAAAATACCCGCTGTTTCTGTTCGATGCTCATCTTGGCGGATATGCCACGGGTATGATAGCTCGACACAAGGCAGCACTACTGTAATAATCCACAGTACCTCCAGCCTACAAGAGAATGGGGAGACACAGCACTGGAATGATTGAGGTTTGAATAGTTGGCCGATTTTCCTCGTCCTCTCGTACACTTGTTCCTTTTCTTCTTCTTCTTCTGTTTCGTTCCTTCCTTCCTTCTTCTTCTTCTTCTTCGCGCCATCCGTAGATCCTCGCATGGATCATCCCACGATCAGGGCCCCTCGCCACTAGCGCACTCGGGCCCTCGGCCCCTCCTCCTGCTGGCTGGCTAGCTAGCAGTGGGTTCCGTCTAATCATAAGATCATAGAAAATCATGGGACTGAGTGAATTTATAGACGCAGGTCTCTATAAAACTACTACTCGCTGTTGAATAGTTGGCCCTCAATCTGAAGTAATGAGAACATGTCCGCAGGTCGTCGAATTCATTTTTATTGCGCGATCACTTTGGTCACCATTCCATCATTCACTCATGCATGCAAATATCTCTCCTCCTCCCTCCCTCCCTCCCTCCCTCGCCTTCCTTTCTTGTTGTGCGGATTCCGCACGAATCATTGAACCCCTGCCCGCTACCACTCACCGCCCCGCACCGCACCACAGCACCACCACTGTGCAGGACGCAACTCTCAAGGATAACCGGATGGCATGCTCTAAGATAATTAGCTCAACGGATTTAAAGCACGACGCCGCCGGATCCAACATCGCTCATTAAGGCCTAACTCCACTGCGAGCTCGGAGCTGCTGGCATTATGTGGCTCCATGCCTGCTCTCGTCGTCGTCGTCGTCTCGGGCAATCTCTCGGGTCCTGCGACTCGTCCCAGCTCCCGTTCTTTTTCCTTCCTGCTCTTAAAGAGGTCGTTACATGTCACGATGGCCCAGCGGAGCTTGACCGGGTCGTCCCCTTCAATCATCTAACCGCCATGGCCTTCGCATGTCCCTTAAAAACCCATTGAATCATGCACAATGGTCAAGGCCGGGAATATTATGGAAAGGACCCGAGTTGTCGGAGGGGGACGCATTTGCGCTCCTTAATTGAATGCATTCAGACAATTTGTGCGTCGTCGTAGAATATCATTGTTGAATGAATGAACGCCCCCCCCCCCCCCCCCCAATCATTATTACGGTGATGATATTTACAGCGCTGGACGACGTCAAGCGAGCGAGCGAGGACGTCGTTGTGTTGTTGTAGTCGTTGCTGTTCATTCAGATATATGCATCTCATCTTATCGGGTGATCCCTTTGTGCCATGGCGCGAGGACCTCCAGATTAACCTTATCTAAAAGGAAGAATCAATTCAACTATCTTCATCTATTTGGTCCAGTGTTGCGACCCAAGTGAAGCAAGCAGCAGAAGCATGAGCATGCTTCGGTTCCAGGAGGTTGCTTGTTTGACTGGACGAAGACTCCATGTAAATGGGGAAAGAGAGCAGGGCAGAGCGAGAGTTACCAGTAACTGCCTGCGCCTAAATATAAACCGAATGCTGTCCACCCACTGGGCCCTGCTGATGCTCCCAGCGCTAGTGGGATACGGTCACTCGATCCAACGCCTCGCAGGGTGCCCAGCGATCAGATCGAATGATTGGAGACTCGGCCAGGCAGCCCAAGAATAGATCCCGGGGCTCGTCTAGGGAGGACAAGTATCGATCGGCAAGGAAGAATTGCAGGTCAATGGAGGTTGGGCCGCCCAGCTGGCTGGCTGGCTGGCTATGTGGGATCAAAAGACTAAAGAGAGGGGGATGGGAATTTGCCAATGACCTACACGGCCAGTGGTCAAACTAACTATAACAACAATGGGTTGGTTAGTGTTTTGTTTTGGGTCCGTGTACTTATTGCTCGTGGCAGTGGGCGGAGAAGAGGATGAGAGGGCCATGAGGGCCCTCGGAGCTTCATTGTGTGCATTATCTCGAAAAAGGTAGTGGGGAGCATGGCCCGACTGGCGGACGGCATTCAGGGACACTGCCGCCAGAAGGCAGCAGCAGCAGCGACTCCCAGAGTCCCAGCCTAGCCAAGCCAAGTCAAGCCAAGCCAGCGACAGCTGAGCTGACTCGAGTCACTAGATTGATCAGGTGGTGGTAGGGAACCAATATCTACCATCTGATCATAACATCCTAAAAACGGTTGGAGATACTCTCTACGCGAAATCTAATATATGGTCAGATAGACTGGAGTGAGCATGATGAGCGCAAGTGGTGGGAGACGGAATGGACGACTGTTCGACAGAACAGAAGAGAGATGGAGATAGAAAGATACGAGGTAGGGTAGGGTCGCATGTGAGAAAGAGCAGAAAGAGAAGCCACAGATAATTCGAGAGGCAGCCATGTCGGATGCTGTGCCCTCCTCCGCCTGCACTGCTGCTGGCCTGCTTCTTCCTCGGCAGTGGCTGCTCTGCTCTGCTCTGCTCCTCATCCTCCTCATCATTGTGCCTTTCCCCTCCCATCAGTACTCCCTCAACTCTCCCCCTCCTACTCTGTACAAATTTGTCATGTTCGCTTGTCGAACGTGGTAGAAGACCTGCTGCCTGCTGTTTTAGGGGCTTCCCCATTGTACCCGTCGTCCCACCCACCGTCCTTTCCGATCCTTCAGCTGGTCCACTTTTAGCTGGCTCCCCCCCTCTTCCTTTTATCCCCTCCTGCTGCTGCTGCTGCTGCTAGCAACAAATTGTTTGGGGTCAGACAAGACACAGTCAGGACAGTCCGATCACCCGATCCGATCCTTCGTCCTCGTCCTCGGCTGCCGAGGGTCAAGTGCTCCCGCAGCAGCGTAAGTATGCGGTGTGGGTGTGGGGATTACGAACTTGGCCTCGGGCAAACATGTCTGTATAAGCTCGGGAACTGTCGCACATTGTAGAACAGATGTATAGTACTGGATCGTAGCATCGGCATCAGCTACAGGAGGTCAATCCCATACGTGTACAGAGTATGCAGAGTATGCTGCTGCGAGTCAAGCCACAGCGCATGAACAGAAAGATCTACTAATGAGCGAGGGCAGATAATAGATAGATAGATATATCACGGGGAAAGGGTGCCTGCAAGGCTTGCATCGAGTCTGTGGGTGAGGACCTGGTGGGTCCGCAGTCCAGAACTGGAGAGGCTCAGTTTGGCTGATTCATCGGGATATCTGAAAGCCCGCAGGCGCTGTAGTGAGTGAGATCGGCGGTCAGAACCAGGGAGATCAGCGCTGCCATGGCCATTGCTGTCATTGGATGCGACGGGCCAAGCATAAGTATGCCCCATCGGAATCCACCAGCTTGTGCTTTCTCCGTTGCTGGGCCCAGAATAGGCAAGCGCAGCAGAAGAAGAAGAAGAATAAGAGCTCGAGATCTTGACAGGTAGGTGGTAGATGGGGGAGGGGGGAGGGGGAGTGTTCTGTGATGATGAAAAAAATGACTTCCATTCATCAGCCCTCTCCTTTCCCCGTTGTGGACGCAGAGATCCCCAACATGAATAAATACGTATTTCCCCGTGTATGATTAATCATCAGTGCCACATGACGGGGCCATTGTGCGGTGGGCGAGTCCTCACATGGCTCGGCTTTATGATTGAACTCGATGTCCTCTCCGACCCCCCCCCCCCCTTTCGCAGATATTTGCCAAGAGCGGTATCCCCATCCCCCCCTCCCCACCTTCGCGTGACGGCCTCTTGTTCCCCCGGCGACCCGAGCGAGAGAGGACGGACGGAATGAAGACGACGGACGACGGTACCCGCCGAGGGGGCCCGGGGGGCTGGCCTTGGCCTTTATGACAGTTGCGGCCGGATAGATCGAACCTCTGCTGCTCCGCCCAGCAGCAGCAGCAGCAGCAGCAGGGGCTCAGGACTCAAATGGGCCGAGGTGGCCAGCGAGTAAAGACGAGGGGGGACGAGTTGATGCGGCGAGCTCAACAAAGTATGCAGAGCGAGAATCAGAGCGACGTGTTTTCTGCATGCCATGCCATTTCCTGGATCTCATCGCACAGCGGAAAGCAGGGCAAGCGTTACGTTATTGTATAGGATCTAGTCCCCCGGAGGCTGGACCGAGAGAGAGAGAGAGAGAGAGAGGGAGGGGGATGATAACAGATCTGTGCCAGTGTGTCGCCTTGTGGGCGAGTAATAAATCGAGCCGGGAGGGTAGGGACGAAGGTGTCAAAGATAATCGCAGACTGAAAAGCTTTCGGGCTCTGGAAAAGTTTCTTGTCTAGGAAAGTATAAACAAATCGGCCCCTGCCGTTGTCATGAGTGCGTGAATAGAATTCAATGAGTGACAAAAGAACGCCCCGAGCTGTCAGGGGCCCCGGCTCTTTCCTGCAGTTCATTCGCGGCTCAGGACTTAATTTCGGTCCCAAAATTAAGAAGAAGACATGCCAATACGGAGGACGCGATACTTATTATAGCTGGAAGAACCAACATATTTTAAAGACATGCTTCAGATCACATTCTCCGTGTGTGGGCCTTCATGTGACCAGAAGTCAAACTCCGCCTCCCAGAGTCAAAGCACGGAATACACGGCCTGGACGACGACGACGACGACGATGCTGCTGCTGCTGCACCTCCGCATACAGTACAATATACTCTGCGATATCTTCTCTGATCTCTGATCTCTGATCAGACGAGACGAGAGACGCTTGAAGAAGGCTGTGCTGCTGCTCATGGGCACGGGTGCCAGTCAAGTCCTGTGACTGTGATTTCGAAGCTTTTTGCATGGCACCTGGAAACCAGGCACCAGGCTTCTCTAGGGGCCGCGCGGTGGTCGACTTCTAACGTGCCCCATCTGCCAGCCGTCGTGGCTGGCTGCAACACTGGACTTGCCGTGGTCGCGAGTCCCAGCCTCCTCATTCATGCATTCGATGATTCGTTCGGGCCCTTTATTGGTTCGTCGGTCACCATCACCCCACCAGCAGCAGCAGCAGCTCCTCTCATCTCCTCCCCAACGCCCCCATTTACTCTCTCTCTCTCTCTCTCAATCTCAATCTCTCCCCTCCATGTCTGTTCAGCTCAGACTTCAGTAGTGGTACCATGGTCTGCACTGGTGCCAGCAGTCGTCTCGCTGCCGTTAACTTGCTCCTGTACTGGGTGGGGTGGGGTGGGCTTGCCCGTTTAGTTTAACCGAATATTGTTACCCGAGGACTGAGGGGACTGCGAAGAAATCGATAGAGCAAGAAAGCTTAAGATGCATCCACGATGCGCGCAACGCCATGGTTTAATGCAGTCGACAAGTTGTGACTTTAGATGCAACATCCGCCACTTGCTCGGTCCAGAGCCACATCATGATACGATTCTCGCCTCATGTATTCAAACAATCATATGTTTCCAGGCACCCCTGGTTGGACCGAGACTAACTGTAGAATCTTTCAGGATATTGCACTGCGATGATACTGCTGATGATGATGATGCATTTGACATAAGAGCAAAGCGTGCACTATTCGGACAAAGGACGAGGTACAATCAGTTGTGAGACGAGGGCAACATACTATTTATATGGGCTCACGGCCCTCTTTGAACCCATCCCGCCTGTCAATTATGAGGACGCCTTTAGACTGTGCAGAAGAATGATGATCATGATCATGGCTCACTTGGTTTCCTTGGTCCAAGCGAAAATGAGAAAACCCTTTCTCCCCGTCCTCTCCCTTTTCATTTGCTCATCTTGCTTCCCTTTTCTTTCTTACTTTCTTTAGGGACCGACTGACTGACTCCCACCACCACCACCACCTCCACCTCAGTCACTGACTCCGTTTTTCCGCTTGTAGAAAGTACGAACCGGCCTCTTCTCTTCGTTTGAGCCGTAATAATCGCCATTTCACCGTATTCTTCTAGAACCTGTCAAATGTACAGTCCTCTTGGGGCCTT